TCTCCCGGCGGTGGGCTCGGACTGGGACGTGTCCTGCAGGTGGGGACGTGGGGCAGCACCAGTGCAGGGGGCTCTGCTGACCCCCGGGGTCACTGGCTCGGGGAGCCTGGACAGGCTGGAGACGCCCTGGCAGCCAGAGGAGCGGGGCTGTAGGAAAAATCCCCCTCCCCACCGTGCTGTGCCCCTTCCCCACCCTTCATCCCCTGGCCCTCCCCCATCCCCCCCCTCCGCTGGGTGCCGGAGGGGCCCCCCCCAGCCAACCCCCCCTTTGTACAGCTTTTTAACAGGGAACTTTTTATACAATTGTCAGGAATAAATAACCGAAACCATACTGATCTCCTGGGGCTGGGGGGGCAAAGGGTCATCCACCCCCTCCCTGGGGGCCAGGCTCTCCTGGTCCCCATGGGGGGCTGGGCTGGTTAATTAATTAATTGGCTGGTGTTTGCACGGGGCTGTGAAGTGGCAAAGTGCCACGGCGGCTGGCACTGGCCCCGGCTTTATCTGGTGACACAAAGGCCTCCGGGGCAGGGGGAGGAGGAGGGGCCCTTCCCCCTGCTCTGCACTGAACTTCCAGGTGTGGGGCAGCAACTCCTGGAACAGATCCCAGGGGGTGGGACAGACTCCCCTGGGATGGGACAGACCCCACCGGTGGTGAGGAGGGGGTTGAGGTGCAGCCAGAGCCCCCAGGGCTGGGCAGGGGACACGGCCTGGCTGCACCCCAGGGCCCCCCAGAGGGGAGCAGTGTGTCCCTGGGGATGTGTGGCTCTGGGAATGGGGTGGTGGCCTCAGGGATAGGGGGATGGGAGATCACAAAGGCATGTGGGACCTTTGAGGTGTAAGATGCTGGGGGTGCAGGGAGATAGGGTCACTGGGACATGAGGCCCTTGGAATGGGGGATGCTGGAATGGAGGGTTGTGGAGAGGTGGGATCTTGGGAAATTGGGGTCACGGGGATGTGTGACCCCCTGGATGTGGGGGGACCCCAGGGGTGCAGAATCCTGGGGAGGTGAGCCCACAGGAATGTGTGACACCCTGGGATGTAGGGAGGATTCCAGGGATGGGGGGTCCTAGAGAGATGGGATCTCAGGGAATTGGGGTCACAGGGATGAGTGACCCCCAGGATGGGGGGAGACCCTGGGGAGATGGGATCACAGGGATAGGAGATCCCTGGAATTTGGGGATCCAGGGATGTGGGATCTCAGGTAATCAGGGTCACAGGGGGGATGAGTGACCCCCAGGATATGGGGGAGGGCACCCTGGGGAGATGGGGTCACAGGGACATGAGGCCTCCAGAATTGTGGACCCCAGGGATGGAAGGTCCTGGAGAGGTGCAATCTCAGGGAATTGGGATCACAGGGCTGGGTGACCCCTAGAATAGAGGGGAAGGCACCCTGGGGAGATGGGGTCACAGGGACTTGAGGCCCCTGGAACTGGGGACCCCAGGAATGGAGGGTCCTGGAGAGGTGGGACCCCAGGGAATTGGGGTCACAGGGCTGTGTGACCCCCCTGGATGTTGGGGAGGACTCGAGGGATGGAGGGCCCTGGAGAGGCAGGATCTCAGAATTGGTGTCACAGGGATGAGTGACCTCCAGGATATGGGGGCTGGGGGGGAACCGTGGGGAAATGGGGTCACAGGGACTTGAGGCCCCTGGAACTGGGGATTCCAGGGATTCAGGATCCTGGGGATTTGGGGTCACAGGACTGTGTGACCCCCAGGATGCTGGGGGGGCAACCCTGAGGAGGATTTGGTCACAAGAACATGAGACCCCTGGAATTGGGGACCCTAGGAGTGG